TAATGTTCGCAGCCTATCCACATTAGTGAAAAGGCGCCGTAAGTTGACATCTGTCCCCCTCCCAGGCATAAATCCTGTCTGGTCCCCATGTATCAGCAGGGTGATTACAGCATTGAGCCGATTAGCAAGCATGCGGGTTAGGATCTTAAAGGAGAACTATGGGGTTAAGTCTTTTCCCCATAGTTCTCCTTAGGGTAACGGAAGGACACAAACTAGCCCCGTCACCCTAGGTCCCGTCACCCATACCTGTGACAGTCTCATTGTCACAGGTCGGCTAGAACTATGAGGTGAGTGAAAAGCACTCACCTCATAGTTCTCCTTTAAGATCCACGTTTAGAAGGGATATTCGGCGATAAGACGAACACTGCTCGGGGTCCTTCCCAGGCTTGGGTACCACCACTATGATTGCCTCCATCATGGAGGGAGGAAGAACACCCACCCTAATAGTCTCCCCATAGGTGTGCAGCAGGTGGGGGGCAACCGTCCCCTTATTAAGACTCCAATGGCAGCAGTGATATGATCCCCCACTCTCTCATCCGAAATCCATAATCTAGAGAGGCGCCACAGCCGGTCAGAGAGGACTGAGGAGGCCACCACACATACCCTCAGTGGGGCATGGTCAGAGATTCCCCTGGGCAGAATGGAGACATCCCTGAGCCTCGGGAGGACCGTGGGAGTAACATAGCACAGGTCTATTCGTGAGAAAGACCTATGCGAGGCAAAATGGCATGTATAGTCCCGAGACTCAGGGTGCCATGAACGCCAAGCATCTACCTGGCAGCCTACTTCCGCTCAGCGGGACAGTTCCGAAGTGGCTGCCACCCAGACCTCCATCCGGTCCATGGCAGGGGATGGCACCATGTTAAAGTCGCCCAATATGAGCACGTCCTCCGTGGCAAAGCTAGCTATCAAGGGCAGTAGTTTGTTCAAAATCCTAACCAAGGCCGGGGGGGACGGACATACAAGCCTACTATCACCAACTCCAGGTGGAGGATTTTAGCATGCAGAACAATGTAACGGCCCTCCGGATCCAGCTTGAGATCAAGAAGGTCAAACGCTACTGTCTTGTGGACCAGGATACTGACCCCTCTGGCATAGGAGGAGTACGTGGAGTGATAATAATGGCCCACCCAGGCTCTCTTTAGGCTAAGGACCCTGCCACCGGTCAGATGAGTTTCCTGGAGAATACAGACATGTGGTCTATACGAGGTGAGATATTGGAACACCAGGGAGCGTTTAACCCAGGAGTTGAGCCCCCGGACGTTCCACGAAACTATATTAATATCAGACATACCCTAGTCAGGGACACCACATTAACCAAGCTACCCACTTCGGAGCCGGATGGGAACACTCCCCTCTCTCTCCTCCCCCCATGAAATTACCCCCACAGAGCATCAAAGCACAGATCCACCTATAACTGTTGCAACAGAACATAAAAAAGCAGACAATTAGGAAGTGCCCTAATTCCCAAACTTGTCATGGCAACTAGCCAGTAGGGGAATGTCACACAACAATGGAAAGTAAACTTAGGACGCTAAACCATACAGGAGGGTCCCCACCCCTAAAAGCCTACTTAAATGTCTCCATAGAGCCTACTATACCCCCGCTAGATTAGCTAGAATCTACCCCACAACGGACGCAACGTGTGCTCGCTGCGGGGTGGAGGAGGGTACTTTCCTTCATATGGTGTGGCCCTGTAGCAAGCTTCGACCCTACTGGGACTCGGTGGTGTCTACGGTCAGTGCGGTGTCAGAGGCAGTTGGTGACCAGATCCATATCCACATCTTTCCCGCCTCAGTCCGGTCCCCCCTCCTCAGCAGTGACCCCGGAGGGGTCTCCCCCCTCACCTCTGTCCCCCAGGTCCGGGGTATAACCCCAAGGGCAGGTACTCAATGCAGGATAAAGTCGGAGAAAATATCATCCGAAACGAACCATCGCCAAAAAGAGTATCCAAAAGTATATGAAAAAGGAATAAAGTTAGGTATATATCCAGACGCTTTCGCGGCTTGGTATCCTCAGGTCTTAGGTAGGTGCTCAAGCCACTTAAAGGCCTCCTCCGGAGCAGTAAAAAACCGGGTAGCTTCGCCATCCTGCACCCGAAGGTGCGCCGGGAAAAGCATGCTGTACCTGATCCCCTTTGCTCTTAGGGCAGCTTTAGCAGCATCAAAGGACTTGCGTTAGCGCTGGGTCTCTACAGAATAGTCTAGGAAGATGAGAAGCTTGCTGTTTTCATACTTAAGCTCTCCCAGCAGCCTGGCTTCACGAAGGATGGCATGACGGTCTTGGAAATTAATGAGTTTAAAAATGAAAGTACGCGTAGAGGCCCCCGGGGACCCTGGAAGGAAGGCATGCGATGAGCCCGCTCAACCGCGAAGAAGGCTGTGAGCTGGGCCTTAGGGAGCAGGGCACGGATCAGGGATTCGGCAAAGGTAAGTGGGTCAGGGCCCTCCAGCCCCTCCGGCAACCCAAGGATGTGCAGGTTACTCCGCCGGTTCCGGTTTTCGGCATCCACCGCCCGGGACTCTAAGGCCTTGACTTTGGTACAGGTACTAGTGAAAATGCCCTGTATCGGCCCCGATATTGATACTAGTATCGGTATCGATGCATCCCTATTCATTTATTTAAAGGATCTGGTATGAGAATAAAGGCTTCTTAAAGTATTAAATAAGGGAGCCCTGGCTGCTGAAAGCATGATGTACGTATGGTTGGTCCTACATAAAACCCCCATTCTCCCTACCCAACAAATGTGGTTACTATGGGACCATGGGTATCCTGTAAAACACTGTAGCTACTACAGTGCTTTTCAGCAATCTTCCAGATCCTGGTACTGCCACTGTGCTGAGCGTCTTCACCTCTGCTGTAAAAACACAGGGGGCCATTGACTCGGCACAGAGGCCATTCAGAGAAGGCCTAGTATTTTTATCAATGAATACTAAGCATTCTCTAAATGGACAAAGTGTAGATCATAACATCACTGCTCCTTGTCCAATCAGATCCTAGTCCAGCTTAGCTCAATGTAAGTATACATCAAAATTTATACCTGGAGTTCAGCTTTAAAGTGACATTAAACCCTCAGGTTTTTTAACATAAAACAATACTGTAATGTGTGCCTTACTGTAATCCATGGTTGTTTCCCTTCTCTTTGCTGCTCTTCCTTTTAAATCCGTATCTGTTCTCATGCTGGGCAGAACTTCTGTTTTGCAGCAGACTGCCTTGTCTCAGGAATGGATACATGGTGTCTGTGTGTACGTTTGTAACCTGAGCCAGCACTACAGGAAGAGGCACTGAGCTGCAAAGGGAAGTTCTGCCCAGCATGAGAAGACATGAGGATTTAAAAGGAAGAGCAGCAAAGAGATTTTTTATTTTTCGGCATCCACCGCCCGGGACTCTAAGGCCTTGACTTTGGTACAGGTACTAGTGAAAATGCCCTGTATCGGCCCCGATATTGATACTAGTATCGGTATCGATGCATCCCTATTCATTTATTTAAAGGATCTGGTATGAGAATAAAGGCTTCTTAAAGTATTAAATAAGGGAGCCCTGGCTGCTGAAAGCATGATGTACGTATGGTTGGTCCTACATAAAACCCCCATTCTCCCTACCCAACAAATGTGGTTACTATGGGACCATGGGTATCCTGTAAAACACTGTAGCTACTACAGTGCTTTTCAGCAATCTTCCAGATCCTGGTACTGCCACTGTGCTGAGCGTCTTCACCTCTGCTGTAAAAACACAGGGGGCCATTGACTCGGCACAGAGGCCATTCAGAGAAGGCCTAGTATTTTTATCAATGAATACTAAGCATTCTCTAAATGGACAAAGTGTAGATCATAACATCACTGCTCCTTGTCCAATCAGATCCTAGTCCAGCTTAGCTCAATGTAAGTATACATCAAAATTTATACCTGGAGTTCAGCTTTAAAGTGACATTAAACCCTCAGGTTTTTTAACATAAAACAATACTGTAATGTGTGCCTTACTGTAATCCATGGTTGTTTCCCTTCTCTTTGCTGCTCTTCCTTTTAAATCCGTATCTGTTCTCATGCTGGGCAGAACTTCTGTTTTGCAGCAGACTGCCTTGTCTCAGGAATGGATACATGGTGTCTGTGTGTACGTTTGTAACCTGAGCCAGCACTACAGGAAGAGGCACTGAGCTGCAAAGGGAAGTTCTGCCCAGCATGAGAAGACATGAGGATTTAAAAGGAAGAGCAGCAAAGAGATTTTTTATGTTAAAAAAATCTGAGGGTTTAATGTCACTTTAAGTGTGTGTAAGGGGTAATGATCTTAAAGCTTCACCTGCCACCAGAAACATTCCCACCCACTCTCCTTCTTCTCCTTGCTGTCAAGCATGATTGGATGATTTTACCTTGTCAGAGTTTACATGGTTCCTGTTCTACATCCTGTGTAAATTTTAGTTAGGTACATGCATTGTTAATGCTACCTTTTGGTATTTGGGTGCTCACAGTTTTTCTGTATGAGTACCTCTGGAAAACGAAGAGCTGCTCAGGAGCATAACAGGGACCAATATTTGTATTCGGTTAAAATCATATTTTCTTTCTCAACAGTCCAAAACATATGTTTTCAAATTTGATGCCTTTCTTTTATCAAGAATGCCTTCATTTGCCGATGTGAGCAGTTAAATATTATGAATGGAAAATAAAACATACATGCATAGGAGGCAATACACAGTAAAAAAAAAAGGAAATAAGTACAACATTGGAGAGGTTCACAATTAGGTTTTGTCTTTTATTCCCCAGGAATAATAAACAAGGAATTTAACTGGTGATGGTCACCATGGACAACAACTGTGATTTTCTTTTTTCACAGTTCCTTCTAAAGGAATCGTGTGCTCAAAAAGTAGTCTGATTAATTGGGGGTACAGCAAATTTAATGGAAACCTATACCAAGAAAAGTGCTCTTAGGCATAGCACAAACTAGGAACCAAAATGGTTACAACATTGACATATAAAGTGCCATATCATAAACATGTTTATACTTACTCTGAGGCTGTTGTTTAACAAATGCTTTAACACTTCTAATATCTTCAGATTGTAAGACTGTGTACCCAAGGCGAGTCAGAATCCTTTTATATAGGGTAGATTCCTCAGTATTGAATTTAAGATACGTATATAGTAAGACTCTTCTCCGGGTATTGGAAATCAACCTCTCCTTCATGTTTTCTTCATACTGTTAAAGAAACCAGAAATGTATTACACTGAACTTTTAAGTTCATCTAAGTATTAATCATGTATTCGTAACAATGTCAAGGTAGTACACTATAGGAGGTTAAGCGCAGGTTGTGTGCAGTTCATATTGTTTTATTTTCTTATTTATTAAAATAAAGCTGATTGAGTCTGAATAGGAGCACCTGATGTGCAAAACTCAAAACCTGCAACATACTTTTGAATACTTTTATTCTTGTTATTTAACACATTCCATAAACTCCATACCTACATCACTACTTAAAACCGACATTTACCACTGTCACATTGGGAAAACATTAAAAAGAGCTGCCATATTTCATGCTAGTTTTCATGCAAGGCTGCTAGACGGACAGCCTTGGACATATGAGATGCTTCCTAAAAACTTTGTTGACTTTTTTAGGACGTATTCCTCACATTCAAAATCCTCAAGTGGTTAAAAGATAAAACCCATGAATTTACTGTACACTTGGATTACATGGGGATTAGACTTGAAGAGCATCAAACCCCCCAAAATTTAGTAGGTTGCATTAGTTTTCAGACTTTTTTTTCTTTATTTTTCCTTAGAAAAATACATTTCCTTAGAAAAATACATTTCAAATTTGCTTCATGTAATAAACAAAACAAACAACTGGCACAGCGTAGCTGGCGTTACATTGACCTGAGTCCAATGGCGCTCCAGCAGTGGTTTGTTTACAGAAAGCACAACGTAGATCACCAAATCTGTCAGCTGTGTCATTTCCAGAATGTCCTTACTCCGCAGAAGCTGGAAGTGTAAACTATTTCCAGCCACCTGACAGAAAGCATGTTCTTTTATACAAATGCATGACATACACTTAGCAGACCACATACCTTCTTGTCATCTCTGTACAACCTTTCCAGTAACATTTGAGGCAAATCTGACAACTAAAATTAAATGCTTTCAAGGTCCGGAAAAAGAAGGGCTAGGAGCAACCGGCAAACAAAATATTTTTAAAACACTTTATCAAATATAAATACGTATGATTATTAACTGTGTCATTGTTAAAAAATGTACTGCCTTATCTTACATTCAGATTTAAGTGGAAATAACACAATAGATCTGACTTTATTAATGTGATCTTCATTTCAACTGGGTCAGGTTCTAGATGCTTCCCAATATGAAATAAACATACAATACATGCATACAAAGGCTGCTTTGACCTGACAGTGATTTCACCCTTCCGCATTCTATAAAAATATAACTAAAAAAGTGTTCAGACTTTTAAAGTCTAAAGTTGAACTCCAGACAAACACCTAAACATGCAGTTTACAAATAGGTAAAGATAGGTAAAAGGTCTTCTCTACCAGATGCATAGTTCTGTCAAACCTTCTGTGATTCATAGGCCACTGCCAGCACAACCAGAAGGGAGACTCTACCTATCTTATTGGACAATGAAGGAGCAGTTATCACCTCTTCTCTCCTCCTGTGTGCATGTTTGCTGTCAGCAGGACCATCCCTTTAATGAGGCAACTTGAGTCTGTTGCCTCAGATAGCATCTCTTTGGGTCACATGGGGAAGGGGGGGGGCAGCAGGCAGAGCGGCATGGCCGCTCCGAGGTACAATGTTTGCAGTGTGTCTGCCACCCCCTTTCTGGCCTGAGCGTCCCGGGTTGCTAGGAGCTGGACAGGGAGATGTGTAAGAGTCATAAAGATCTCTCCACTCAGCTCGTAGCAACCTGGGACAGTCTTTGCCCAGATCTTGGCAACCAGTGACATCACTGCGCAGCGTCACTCAACTACCAGCCCCTCTTTCATTTTCAAAGGTTGACTAAACAAACTGAAGAGAGAATCTGATTGGGTACTATGAACAACTGCTCCAGATAAATTCCCCCACTGTATGAAGAATATAATTCAGTGACAGTTTGTGGGGTAAAGCATTGATATGACTACTAAAATGGGTAACAGTACATTACAGTTTACATATTATTATTTACAGTTATTTATTAAAATAAAAAGCTTCCAAATCACCAGAAATCACTCACCCTCTGTTGTGAATGGGGGCCCTCAAGTGTGAATGGGAGCTGACAGTGACTCTGTCACTTTTAAAAAAGGAAGCCATTAGCAGTTATAAAGTCTAGGCACCTAGAGGTGCAGCACACAACTTCTACAGCTGAATGCCATAGTGGTGAGAGAGCTTGCCCGCTCCATCTACCTCACACACATTTCAATTGGCCAATGAGGCAACCCATTATAGGGATGGGCAAATAGGAATGTAGATGGTGGGAGGGAGAAGGCAAGCTCTGATACTACACAGAAATGTCCGAGTTTTGCCCGGTCAGAGTGGCCAGCATTAGGCCATAGCAGATATAAATAAAGCTGCTGCAGGTATGTGCAGACATTTCTAGGTGCCTACACTTTTTACCAGCTGGTAGCGCTCCTTATTGTAATAGTGACAGAGTTAATGAGTAACATTGTAAAACTCTGTACAATATGCACTAATTCTTTCACTTGTAGAATTCTGTGTATAAAGTTGGAAAACATGACCGGTTACAATATTTGAGGAAAAGCTTGTGGTTGATGTGTGCATTACATATTTTAAGACTTCTTACTGAGGTCCACATTACAAAAAAAAGACCATTGTCTCTAACATGGTTATGCTACTTTCCTTTTTGCGTGCTTCCCACTTTGCAATTAAGGCTTGTTAGTATGGCGTCAATGGACATCTATGTAGTCTTACAGTAATGATTAGGAGATAATCTATGTAGTTCCTGCCAATGTGATTCCTGTGACCGCTTGTAAAATGCTTAGAGTGAAAAAATGTTTTGTACAGAACACATATTTAGCACTTCTCTCCCTGCTTCCAAGTCAGATTTGAAAAATAGATGTTTGCTTCAGTTTTATTACAATTAAACACAACAAAACTGTGTGGGCTGTTATGCACAATATGTAAATGTGGTATACCTAAAATAAGTTTTATCATATTATAGATATTTTATTGTAATTCAGAAAATGAAAATTGTATTGCTAGTAGAAGATAGCCTTGTCTGTCCTGTTATATGTTCAGAACCCCCCCCCAAAACCACTCTGGAAATGAAAAATGAACACCTACACCAACCAGACATAAAATGGTTAAATAAGCTCAGCCAGTATAAACGTAATGCATCTGTAAAATGTATATTTACAGAATGGTGTAGTTCTTGCACCCAAGGCAAATGTAATGATCCTAGCATGTTAAGGTCATTCTTTTTTACATCTACTTCTTAGCCAAAAAAATGAGTTATGCTGGCTGGTGACTGTAATATTAAAGGATTAAAATGAAATGACTGGAATTCAGTGCCATTTCCTGTCCTTCAGTAAGGAAGATCTAGGGGCTCACAATCACACCAGGCTTGGGATCTGCTGTGCTGAAGATACATTTCACTATATTTCCAACTTATGTTAGCAATTTAATAAATCACTTGTCCCAAAAAGGTTGGAAATTACTGCCAATTTTGTTCCAGGGCATTAAGTTTAGGAAAAAGCCTTGGACCATAAATGTTATTTATTTGAAGAGTAAAGAAGACCATAACACACAGCAAATGTGATTTAAAGCTCAATAATTTTCACTGACATGAAAGCAGACAATTAATTGCCTATCCGCATATTGCTTTTATTAGAGAACAGTCTGACATCATATCTAAATGAGGTGTAAATATTAGACCTACAACACTGTCAGAAGCAAAGAGTTGTGTTATTTTCTTGTTTGTTAAAAACACCCTAGCAGTCTGAAGTTTCTATCAAAATAATTATCTTAATTGATATTCTGATTAGCTAGCACTGAATTATTTAAAGGTAAACTGTACAATGTTGCGACAGTCTGATTGAAACTGCAATTCCAGCTGTCTGATAAGGGATATTAGTCCTGTGACTAATTCACCTGTGCGTACATTTCAGGCTGAGCTGTTTACAACTATTATGCAGATATGTCTATCTAATAGAGGGAGACTCCCTGAACATCAGGGAGACTTGAGATCCCTGTGCCTTTTACAGCAAGTGCAAAGAAAAAAGAAAACATATGGGAATGAGTCTTCCATAGTTACATAGTTAGTCAGGTTGAAAAAAGACACAAGTCCATCGAGTTCAACCTATGGAGTCTAGATCTTCAACGTCTAGCTAAAAATGACATTACAAAATATATTTTTTTAAAACATTTGAACTGATCCAATGGCTTTACTGTTTTTTAAGTTGTTGACCTGGAACCTGTCTGCAGATTAAGAGTTCTGACGTGTTATGGGTCAGTATCTTAGGCAGTGCTGAAGCCAGAGACAAGCAGCCAACTAGTTTTTTTAGAAGGAAGTCAGAAATAGCAGCTCTTGTACTCTTCTCAGAATGGGCTTGTTTTAATATTGTAATAAAAAGACCCTACAGAATGAATGATTTGTAAGTAAATGACTTTGCTAACACTATATTGCTACACCGTGGCTTTTTAAGTAGCTCATTGTTGTACAGCAGATTAGCTTAGGGTATGTTTACATGGCAGAAGGTAGTGGAAGCAGTAAGTCTTTTACCATAAACTAAAGAGTTTCTTATATTAGGGCTGCTAGGTCCTACACTTACTTACACTGGGCAGCATAGTGGCTTAGTGGTTAACACTTTTGCCTTGAAGCACTGGAGGTTCCTGGTCATTTCACTATCTGCAAGTAGTTTGCATGTTCTCCCTGTGCTTGTGTGGGTTTCCTCCAGGTACTCCAGTTTCCTCCCACACTCGAAAGACATGCTGGAAGGTTAATTGGCTCCTGACTAAATCAGCGCTAGTGTACTGTATGTATGTTTAGGTAGGGACCTAAGACTGTAAGCTTCTTGTGAATGTGCAGTATGTAAAGCACTGCGTTTTGTCAGCGCTATACAAAATATAAATATGAATAATAAATGAATGTATGTATGTTGCAGAAGAGCAGTGTGCTGCATCTTCCATGGCATTGTGGTAAAAGATCTGGTGCTTAGTGTAAGGTAGTTGTCATCACAGTACTGTGAGTTAGCAAATTT